AAAAAAAAAAAAAAAAATTCAGCCAGCCACCCTTTCACACTCAATACACCCTTTAGCTTGCTCTATTTTGTTATTATTTTATACTATGTAGCACTTATCATCTTCTAACTTACTATATTATAATATCCCTGTACATGAAGCTTTTTCTTTGTTGTCTCTCTCCACACACTACAAAGTAAGCCCCCACGGGCAGGGATTACTATTTCATGTACTAACGTGTTCTAAGTGTCTAGAACATTTTCTGGCACATAGTAAGTGGTCAGTAAATCTCTACTGAATTAATGAAAGAAAGAACACAGCCTCACCCAATGAGATTACACTCCTGTAATTCCCCAGCATCACTTCTTTGTATAGGTTCTTCTGCTCAGTCTCTTCCATTTGCCTCCATGAAGACTACAGCCACATCCCTGAATGTAACTGGTACCTATAAACAAGCAATAAATTAATGGATAGCAAGTCACCATCAATTTTCCCAGCATGAGGAGCATATCTGGTGGCCCTAGAGTCTGGATATGTAAGAAGTTGGTCTAATTCTTTTCAGAGTGCATGGTTCTCCATATTAAGTTATTCTAGGCATTACTATGTCTTTGTGTAAAATCTGAGGGGAGCATAACTGATGCATAAAACATATTCCTGGCCCTCGGACACTTATGGTTTCACTGGAGAGGTGATTTGTGAATCAATTTGAAAAAAACCTCTAGTGCTCAGGAAAGTGCCCTTGAGGATTTGTTATGGAGGAATTCTGAGATGGAAGATAGAGGCTGGGCTGCAGAAGAAAAACAGCATCATGGACACAGGTCTTGTGCTGGGCATTAGGGGATGGAACAGATTTAGAGCAGAAAACAGAAGAAAACTTCAACTATAGAGAAAAGTAGGAGTGAAGAGATGGGGTCTGGAACGAGTATTTTTGAAGAGTTCAGGTTACTAAATGGGATCTGTAAAATCTGTCTTTGCCTGGTATTTTAATAACCTTTTAAAAAGAAAACCCCTAATGCTTCACTCATCATGTATAACAGTCTATCATTTATGCAAAACAGCTATCAGGGGAATGGCAGTAATATTGAAGAAAAAGGGCATTTACAGATAACTTCATTTAAAAAAAAAAACAACACTTTGAGGTATAATTTAAACCTCACTGCTTCATAAAATTCACCCACATTAAGTACAGGCACTTCATGCTTTGCACAGTTCCAATATGTATGAATTTCAGTTGCCACAGTTTAATTAAACAACAGCAGTCCCCAAACAAAATGGTTCTGATTTCTGTTACTCTGGTATTTTAACTGTGAGTAACTGCCTCAAGTACAAACGCAGCTGCTAGCTCTTCAGTCCGCAAATCACTACGGAAATAACAGTAACCGAGCACGTGACTCCTTTTGAAGTCCACACTTCCGGTGCAAGCAGTCCCCTTTGTTATAAGTAAGGCCGCTGTATATGAACGGGCGTATTTCTGGACTCTCTCTTCTGGACCACTGATCTACTTGTCTCTCCTTGCACCAACACCCCACTGTCTTAATTACTATGGCATGACGATAGGTTTTGATACCTGATATACAATTTCTCCAACTTTGTTCTTCTTCAAGAATAACTTGGCTATTTTTTGACCTTTGTATATAAAAACAAACTGCAATGAAAGATGAAGTACAGATATATACAATATAGACAAATCCCACAAACATAATGTTGAACAAAAAAAGCCGAATATAAATTATGTGATTACATTCATTAAAAAAAAATTAGAAAAATTAATTGTGATGTCGGAAGTCAGAAGAGAGTTATTCTTGGGGCAGAAATGACTAGAAGGTTTGCAAGTGTGTACTGTTCACAACTGGCAGCATTCTGAATCTTCATCGAGGTGCTGGTTACATGGTTGTGTTCACTTTCTGAAAGTTTATTGAGTACATTTTTTAACTGTGCACTTTCCTATATGTATATCACACCTCAATAAAATTTAAAAACAAAAAAAAACCTGGTTGAGTGGGAGATCATGCTTTCCTAATACTTACAGTGCTTCTTTCCCAGAAAACTGCTTACGACGAACAATGTTTGCCCATAAGCAATGGCATGAGGTGAGGGCACTTTGCAGCTTCACCTGCCCAATCTTGAGTACAGCGGTAGCCGGTTAAACTACACAAGGGGGAAAGGACGTGATCCACATATTTTAACTCCCTGTGAGCAAAGTGTCCACGATTTGGTTTTTCTAAAAAGAAATCAGTAGGTATTTAACTTGAAAATATTGGAGACACACTGATTAGAACAGTTTCCACACTGAATGCTCATGAATTAGGACCTGATCATGATGATAACATTTGAGGGCTACACACAGCATATCAATACTTAGAACTAGGTATTACAGATGGAATTAAACACAAGACGAATAAAAGGTTTTGTCCCAGTATCCTTCCTGAAACTAATAATAGTACAAAGACTATAATTTTCCTTCTCTGATTCCTATAAAGTTACTTCTTACAACCTAAGCAGTGGTGCGTGTGTAATCACACACTTGCATCGGCTTCCTCAACTTCAAGTGCATTTTAGCTGTCAATAGTAGGGCAACTGGCCTTTATATTGGGTATTTTAATTTTCTAAAAAAGAGAAAACTACAACCAAAATCTTTAGTGTAACTGGTCTTGAAAATAATTCCATATTTGAGAAACCATTTAGACAACATGAGCCTTGTTCTCCAACAGCCAGAAGACTCAATGATCTGCACTGCTCTTGTTTTGCCTGGTTCCCATGCCAAAGACTCCTTGAAGTTACCTTGATTCTTCTCTCTCATCCACACCTTATCCCCAGCTTCCCACTCATCGATCCCCTTTGCCCAGACACTGGAGATGGCCTCCATATGCTTCAGATTGACATTCAAGGCCTGCCTGCACTCGGCTTCTCCCGATTAGCAAAACCTACCTCTCCTGTCTCTATCCTGTAATCAGGTCTCCCTACTCCAGCCAGACCTGGGTCCTCTCAGTTCCCTGCAGATGTCCCATTTGCTCTACCTCTTAGTTTTAGTCATGAGAGCTTTCTATCTGAATACATCATTCCTATTTCTTCCTACTATGTAAAAATCCACCCATCCTTCAGGATCAACTCAAACCTCACTACTTTCAAGAAGACCTCCCAGTTTACTCCAGTCCACAAAAGTGTCTTCATCTTATAAATACTTAGGACATTTATATTCTATACACTTTGGGGAAAAATTTTTTTCTAAAACCTGGAAAAAATATTACAGGTTACTAGAGCATACTTCAATACGCTTCTCGGAATGAAAGCAGGGCATGTAGCTTGCTTTGCTTCCTACCCTCAACCCCATCTGACACTCCCTGAGAGTATAACTTTGTGTCCACAGTGTATCATCCAACGAACAAGGCATAACTAATAAGGGGAGCATGAATTTACAATCCAATGAGACTATAATTTAACACATAGAACTGAAAACTTCTTTTCATTTTACATACCAGGAAAATTTATTTAGGCTTTCTCTCATTCTTATATTCATATATTCTTTCTCTTTCTCTCCCTCCCTCTCTCTCTCCCTATCTATCTATATAATTTTTTGTTGAATACTGGACATTTTAGGTAAGATATTGTAGTAACCCTGGATACCAACCCTGCCCCCTCCCCAGGCTGTTGCTGTGGTTGCTTGTTCATTTGTTTTGTGACTTGTCTGTACTAGTTCAATAAAGGCTCTTTTCTCAGAAGATGTGACTGCTAAGTGGGTGCAGCCTTGAGCACGGACACAGTCATTCTGACCCTCCCTCTCTAGAAATAACAGTCCTTTTAGCGGGGCTCTCTTTTTGTCTCTCTCTGATGTCCCTGTTAAGCTTCTGGCTGGTCTGCCTCTATTGGTATCACACCCACCTGTTAGCCTCCACTAATCGCTAGCTGATTGCTCTATTATTCTCAACCATGTCCTGGGGCATAAATGGCTCCCCAGTCTGATCCAATTGAAGTCAGGCCCTTTTGCAGGGGTAGTTTTGAGGCCAGTATGTGAGACTTGCTCTGACCCCAGGAGGGCTCTTCTCAGCTATCTCTTTCCTTAGCTCTCTGTTAAAATTCTAACTGATCTGCCATTTTGCTTGTTGCTATCATGGACCTGCCAGCCTCCTCTTTACTGCTTACCATGAAAATCTCCATTGTTTTCAACAGCACCCTTAGCCTTCAACTTCTATGGTCTGTTCCAAATAAAGCCAGTCCCCTTAGAGAGCACTACACTGGTCTCTGTTCTTACAGCCTGCCTCTCCCCCTGGGCAGGACCTCTGCACCACTGCTCAGGAGCTGGGAGCAGGACTGGCAGCCACCAAGCAGTGCACTGAGCAGAGGTGGCAGCTCCTTTTCTTCTCAGCTTGCCTCTCCTGGCACGGGATCTCTGCCCTACGAGCAAGGTGGGAGAAGGCAATCAGGTCCCCCCTGATTCTTGACCTCCTGTGTCTGGACAGAGCTTCTATCCTACAAATAGGGGCTGGTGGAGGAGGAAAACCCCAGACCTCTTGGCCACACTTGCCTGCAACCCTGAGCTAGAGGGAATGGGAACTACTGGTAGCCCGCCCCTCCCAGGGAAAGTGTAGTCCTAGACTGAGAACTGGGACAGAGAGAGCCCCATCTTCTTGGCTGTACCCACTGGGAGTAGAGCTTCATCACACTGAGCTGAACAGTGAGCAGGAAGGAGCAGGTTGTGGAACAAATGCCACAGACTCTGGCTGTTCTTACTGAGATTTAGTAGATCTTCTTTTTTTTTTTTTTGTGAGGAAGATCAGCCCTGAGCTAACATCTGCCAATCCTCCTCTTTTTTTTTTCGCTGAGGAAGACTGACCTTGGGCTAACATCCGTGCCCATCTTCCTCCACTTTATATGGGATGCTGCCACAGCATGGCTTGACAAGCAGTGCGTCAGTGCGCACCTGGGATCCGAACCAGTGAACCCCAGGCCACCAAAGCGGGGCACGCGCACTTAACTGCTTGCGGCACCGGGTCGGCCCCTAGTAGATTTTCTTGAATGTTTCTCCACTTCCTATATGTCCTTAGGACAATATTCAGAGACTTTAAAAGGTTTTTTTTTTTTTTAAATCATTTTGGTTATTTCACTAGGGAGAGAGTCCATGCAGCTCCTCACACCACCATTCCAGAGGTGCTTTTCCTGTCTTCCATGAATTTAACTGTCAATCCACTGTGAGTTGCTGGACACTGGTTTCAAAGCTCTAGGCTAGCACTTTGCAATGACTTTTACTGTACCGTTATGTAACCATTTCAACCATTGTAATAAAAATCACTATTAGTGTCATCATTTCTTGTTTTTATACATTATTTTTCCAAAGAACTTGTAGGCTTGAGGATAAGGATGGGTGTATTTATAAACCTATTGGTTTGGCCTGCAGAATCTCATACACCCCATTCACATGAAAGAATACATCAAATTTCTGGTAGAGAAGAAAAGATTTGGGGGGGGGTGGTTGGATTGGGGATGAAGCACTGTATCTAGAGATAGCATTCTATATGAGTCAGTCATCAAATAATATAGGCCCATTCCCGAGAGTTGGAAAATATGCTCCCACGTTTTTAGATGGGGATTTATGTGGCAGTAAGAGGGCTATACAATACATTAGAAGATGCAGGAGCTTGCGAGTCAGAGAAAACTGAGCTTAAATCCTGGCCCCACCGGGTACTAGATGAGTGTGGCCAGGCACAAATCACACAGCCCTCTGAGCCAGACTTCCTCCCTCCGAAATAAGTAGTATTACCTCCACCACTACCCTCTCACAGTTGTTGTTAAGAAGTATGGAGAAATATTATGATGTCTGAGATCTGTTTAAATAATCCAATGAGGGATGTCTGAGGGATAGAAATGAAACAAGACTAGCCATTACAGATGACTACTGAAGCTGGATGATGCTAACTGAGGGCCTATTGTTGCTATGCTTCCTACTTCCATATATGTTCAAAACTTTCAATAAAAACGTAAAGTCCAGTGTGCAATACCATTAGCGTGAATGTGGAGTGAAATTTAACAGTACATTTAAAAATTTTAACAATCTTTGTTTTTCAAAAATATTCCTGGACTCAATACTAATCTTGGGTATATTTTTCAACAAAGAAAATAAAACGCACAAATGCAGGAACCATTATAAAGTGACTCACAGCGCCTGGCACAGGCACGACCTGCCTAAATGCTGATTGTCATTCCCCTCCCAAGTAAGAGAATATACGCTTATTCTCAGAGAAACAACCCAGCATTTCAGGAAAAAAATGTAACCCTAACTCACCAGTATTTGGGGCTTTCCCTTCTTTTCTTGGAGTCAGTATTGTTAGAAGGCAAACCTAGTGGAAGAAAACACAGCTGTGAGAACCAGGCCTCCCCTAATGCAGCCAGAGGAGCTCCCCTAAGCCTTGTGGTGGAGGGGCCGGTCCGGTGGCAAAGCGGTTAAGTTTTCACGCTGCGGTGGCCCGGGGTTCAAACGTTCGGAACCCACGCATGCACCGACACACCGCTTGTCAAGCCATGCTGTGGCAGCGTTCCATATAAAGTAGAGGAAGATGGGCACAGATGTTAGCCCAGGGCGAATCTTCCTCAGAAAAAAGAGGAGGGTTGGCATTGGATGTTAGCTCAGGGCTAATCTTCCTCACCAAAAAAAAAAAAAAAAACCCTGGTGGTGGAGGGGGTGGCCCCTTTACTCAGCGGTGGTTCTAAAGCATTCTCAGCTGGACCTGGAGCCCTGCTCCCCTCTGCACCTCTCCAGTTCCTCAGCAACTCTCACCTTTGGCCTTAGGATGTTGAGTCAATTCCTTCATGGTTTCCATATCTTCCCTGTTTCCCAAAGGCGAAATCTCCTCCCAGGCCTGCTCTCCCCACGCAGAAGGATCAGAGAACATCATGGCCCCAGAGTCAGCCCAGTGTTTGCCTTGAAATTCTGCCAGGGGGCCAGGTAAAAGTTATTTCATCTCAAGATGGGTTTCTGCTGCCTGGCATGACTTCTCCAAACCCTACTTGTAAAAGCCCATCTTGTTTCCATGAAGCCGGGATCTGGGGAATGGAGAAGCAATTTGCCGTTGCTAGGACCTTTATGGTAGGTCCTAAGCTCATGCCTCTTCAGCAGGGCCCCTGCCCTCACACACTCTCCTCATTCAACGAATATGGAGTCTCAGCCTACAGGGGTTCCTTGGGTTTTTGTTTTTTTTTGGTTTTTTTTAATAATTTTATTTATTTATTTTTTTCCCCCAAAGCCCCAGTAGATAGTTGTATGTCATAGCTGCACATCCTTCTAGTTGCTGTATGTGGGACGCCGCCTCAGCATGGCCGGAGAAGCGGTGCGTCGGTGCACGCCCGGGGTCCGAACCCGGGCCGCCAGCAGCGGAGCGCACACACTTAACTGCTAAGCCACGGGGCCAGCCCTCCTTGGGTTTTTTTTACCTCGTTTCTTTCCGGTCTGTGGGCCCTCAAGTCTGTCCCCTGCCACTTCCCTTATCTGTCAAAATTTACAATTCCCTCCCACCCCCGCACCTCAGATTTAAACTCTATGTCTTGTATTAGTCTCTGTTACCGGGGGCCTGAGTCAGAGAGGACACAGCATAATTCCTGTGGAGAAGGAGCCTCGGAATGCCTCGTTCCAGACCAAATGCGGCATGCAGACCTCAGCTCCGACTCCCCAAGGTTCCAGCTGTGTTCGATCCCCTGTGTCCCTGTGCCCTGAGGAGTTTGCGGGCGTCTAACCTGAGTCTTTCTTACTTTAGGTAGAGCTCCAGGTCTCACAATGACTCTGTAAAGATAATCCCCACTTTCCTTTTCTCTGTGTGTGTGCCACATGCCTTATCAGAAATGTACATTTGTATTTGTGTCTCCTGATGGGCCACAGCTAAAGTCTCCACTCATGTGGTCACAAAGGAGGCAGGTGGTGTTGGGAGCCATACCACCTTCAGAAGCAACTTAGACACCCTGGGGGCGGGGCATAAATATATATGCGTGTGTCTAATCTTTGATTGTCTTTTCATAAAAAATACTGGAAGCATACATGGAAAATTAATAAAACTGATTATCTATGGAATATAAACCTGTCTTTATTTGCACTGACATGATTGTATCCTAGAATCAAAAATATCAAAATAAAAACTAGAACTAATAAGTGAATTTAAATTTAGCAAGGTGGCAAGATATGAGAGATCAATATACAAACATCGATTGTATTCTTAAATACTAGTCAGAAACAATTGGAAAATTACATTTAAAAAACATTTCCAAAAGCATCAAGAACATAAAATGCCTAGGAATAAACTTAAAGACAAATGGTGCTGGGGCAAGGATGGTGGTAACCTGAATGAGAACACTGGTCTGGGGGAATATTCCCTGCAAAGGCCCTTGCCCTTAAATCAGCCCTGGTAGCCAAGGAAACAAGCAGGGCCTCTGAGCCTCAAATGCTGCAGCACACAATGTGTGCTGCAGCACACAAGAGGCCAGGATGAGCAAAGGAAATTGACCCATAGTTTGTAGCACAGAAAACACTGTAGGAGTGTGAAAGGTGAGTGGTACCCACCTGAAAGTGGGCTGTCAGGAGCCCAGAAGTCCTCTCTTTCTCTACACAGCCCTCTCTGTGCAGGCATGGATACGAGAAGGTAGACCTGAGGATGAAACAGACAGTGTGAGCTTCAGGACTGTCCCTCAGCCCCCAGATACCAGGCTCGAAATCCCCAAGTTTAAGGGTTTTTTTCCTTTGAACAAAAAGAAAGAAAGAAAGCCTCAGATCTGTCAGAGAAGAAAGTAGAGAGCTTCTGGAGGACAATCAGATGTGGGCATCAGAATACAGTCTGCCCTGATCAGCTGCTATTAAGTAGGAAGTTCATGCTTTTTGTGCCTATGGGCCAAAAGTTGTAATATTATTAGTAATAGTTAACACTTAACTGAACTCTTACTATACCCAAGAGAAAATTCCAGGCACTGTACAAGTTTTACCTCCAAAGGCCCCATGAGTTAGGCCTTGTGATAAACTCAGACACAGTACAAACCCTGCTCAAGCTGACACGCTAGAAAGCGCCTAAATTTGAACTCCAGCTGTGGAGTGCCATGCCCTTAGCCAGTTGGGTAAGTGGTGATGTCAGCAGTGACCAAGCCCTGTAGGGTGTGACAATTCCCAGAGTGTATCCACACATAGGGTTGAGGGGATGTCTATGAAACAAGATTGGCCATGAGTTAATAAATGTTCAATCTAGTGATAGGTCCATGGGGGTTCACTGTACTATTCTACTGGGTAGGTTTAAAATTTGTCCTTACCAAAACATTAAAAATAAAATTAAAGTCCTGATACCTGGGCCCCACCAGATGCCAGAAGTGATTTGGATAGCAGACCAACAGTGCTCAGAGATCTCGACCCTACCTAACCCCTCTAAGTCCAAAACCAGAGGTTTAACCCCAACACCAAAGCGAAAAGCAGACAAGTGGCAATCAGCCAAACTAGCCACTCACATTACGACCAAATCCGGATCTTTGCCACAAAGCAGAGTGGGCCCCTGCACCACGACAAACCCTGGGACAACAGGTCCCAGAAAAGCAGACCCGCCCCCGCTCAAAAAACTGCCTAAACGCAGAGCCCTGGCGGTGCAGTCCACATCATTGGAGGATGTTTGTCCCAGGCCAAAATCTCCCCCATCCCCTAAAAACCCCAGGGACTCCACACCCAAGACACTCCCCCACCACCCCCTAGGGATATTCTGCCCAGGTCAAGCTCACTTCCACCCACCCCCAACAAACCAAAGCATAGCAGGACCAGAGATGCTCTCCCCTCCACCCCGCCCCCGTCCAGCCCCACCAAAGAAAACAAAACTTGACATTCACGATCAGTCCTGGATTCCCACAACTACTCGGAGATGCAGGACGCAAGTAAGTGCTCCCGTGCCAAAAACACCCGGGGATGCATGGCCCGAGCCGCGCCCCTGCCCCCACCCCCACCACAGGGGATGTTTGTCTCTTTGGCCCTGGCTGAACTCATCCCCACACGACTGGAACTGCCTCCCTATTCGGAAATCGTCTGGCCCAGAATATACCCACCTCCTTCAAAAAAGAAATTAGAGTTCCAGGTCACTCGCCCCAGCCGGAAAAGGAAGGCCCGCGTCGCGCCCAGCACCTCAGGGATTCAGGCTGTCAGAGTCTCACCCCACTTCCCCGCACCGAACGCGCCACGAGCCGCGCCCCCTCCTCCCAAAAAGAAAACCCCCGAAGCCGCCAGCCTCAGCCGCCGCACTCCTCCACCAGCCGCACTGCACCCCAGTCCCCAACCCTAGGCCTGGCCTTTCCAGACCCTCCTTCCCGCTCGGGAAAGGACCCGCGCAGGCCTCGGTCACCAGAACCAGCGGGCTAGGTAAACTCGGCCCTCCGCCGCTCAATGATGCCAGAACTAGTTCCCAGAATCCCTGCAGGCTCCGCCTCCCATTGGTCGCCACCGGAGACGCTCTGGGCCGCGCGGTCGATTTAGTAGGACGATGACTATTGTAGTGACAGCCTACCCGTCTCTTTTCATAAAATATCCATGCATAAAACAGGCCGTGGTTCCGGAGCGAAGTCTCTGTCCCCTCTGCCCATTCACCAGAAGAACTACATTTCCCAGAAGTCCCTGCAGCAGCTTCCGCATGCGGCTTCCAGATCCCGCCCCTCTGCGCGCGGAGTCCACGTGGCGAAGGCAGTTCCTTTTGGCGCGTCTGGCGGGTTCGGCGTGCTGGCTGCGAGGCGTTTCTGACTTTCGGCTTTTATATTTCTGACTAAGCTAAATTCCCTAGGCTTAGGCTCTGCAACGTACACACCACTCTCCGTGAGCGCCAAGTTTGGCTTCGTGCTGCCTGCGCACCCTTGTGGTCATCCCCATTTTACTTGGGGGAATAACAGACTAGGAAGGCAAAGCAGTCTCCCGAAGTCTCAGTTGAGCCGGTTATCCTCAACTCAAGCGCTCTCCTTTGGATGGCCTGTAGTCATTTTCCTCTTGTCCAAGTCCTCGAAGTTAGTGACAAACTCATCCAGTTCCTAGAGGATGGAAGCCTCATTCAGGCTGGAGCCTGGCTCTCTGGCCTTTTCTCTAGGATCCGGATTAGGGGCTACAGTGGTACTGTCAACTTTTTTAAAAAAATAGTTATCTTACTAGCAAAGTTAGTTTATTGGGGAATAGCCAGAGGAATCGCAACTCAGGAAATACAACCTATGACTGACCACAGGCAGATCCAGAGAACAAAAGCGGGGTCCCAGCTTGCTTTTATAAAGAAAAAGGGGAGTTGGGAGGGGTTGTCCTAAGTGGAAGTTCTGTGGAGGAGAGTAAGAGTTCAGGTGGCAATGGCTCCTCATTGGCTGAGCTGCAGCATTTTCCAGTGGCTGGGCTTGTTGGCCAGAGAGAAGAAACTCTTCCTTCCTGCTGCTGGGGATGCGAGGGAGTCTCTTTCTTGTTTGGGGTAATTGACAATGAGTGGTAGGGTGTGAGAGCTCCCTCTACAGGCCAAGTTAGTTGAGGTGTCTTATTAATTTTCACCTTCAACTGGCAACGAGCCGATTGGGGTTCTGCAAAGCAGACCTATTTCAGTTCATAGGAAGATCATTTAAATTGTAATGGTAAATGAAAATTAAATTTAGTTTTCACTGTTGCCGAAATGGAAATAGACCATTCCCTCCCTCCCTTTTCTTAGAGTATTTCCTTGAGAAACCTATTTGTAGATATGCTCTTTTAATATGTATGTAAACCTTTTTAAAGGCTAAAAAGTATCCTGCCAGCTTTACAACCTAGGAATGTTTTTCTTAAAGGCCTGGGAGCCATCTCTTTGAAATGTAAACACTAAGGACGATATCGCCCTATCTTCCTGTCGCTGTGGGAGTTTAGCTTAGGTACCTAGTCCAAACCGTAACCACCTGTTTGTCACAGAGACAGGAGAAGTTTTATTTTTCTTTCAAATAAAGGCAATTAACTAGCACAAGTGGCTATCCCAATTACCAAGTAAATTTAGGATGAACTGTGAAAAAAGGTACAGCAAACTATCTTGTCAAATCCTCTTATAAGAGGACAAATTACCATTAATCCTGAGAACTTGTTTGTAATGGGTTGTATCTGCTCAACTATATAAAAAGTGGAATTTCTTTCTGTCTTTGCAATCTCATTAGCGGATTGTCTATGATGTGTTTCACAGTCTGGTATAACACTTTTCCAATAATAAAACTATTTTCTTTCTTTTCTACATTTGTGAAGAGGATTTTTCTGGGTTGGCAAGAGATTTTATTTTTAATCTTCAACACCATCTCTCCCATTTCTCTTCACCTTCCCTGTGTCAGCCGTCTGAGACTTCTCTGTTGTCCAGTACTCAGGAGACAGAAAAATGGCCAGGAGGCCACTGTGAACCAGGAGATAAATAAGAATTTCCTGAAAGTCTGTCCTGGCTGTCACAGAATGGACTCATTCCTTTCTGTTGTCTTGGAGGCTGCCATGTTAGTACTGGAGAGAATCCTGCCCTGGGTCTGGAGACCTCTCTTAGCATCCCTCTGTGCTGCATTGTGACTGTTATTCACCATGTTAACAACATACAAGAAGCAGTTTAAATAAAAATACAGCAGAGGTGATGTCAACGAAAATGAAACAGGTAGCTCCCCACAAAACATGATAAATTAAGCAAAAACCGTCAGAATCAACTTCGTCAGAACTCTGGAAAATAGTCAAATGTTTACAAAAATCAAGTGAACAATGAATCAAGAAAATGGCAACTTAAAAATGGTAGGAAAACTGGAGAAAATATTTGGAAAAGACCTATTTGATAAAGGACTGTTATCCAAAATATACAAAGAACTCTTAAAACTCAACAATAAGAAAACTAACAACGCAACTTAAAAATAGGCAAAAGATCTGAACAGACACCTCACCAAAGAAGATACACAGATGGCAAAAAAGCGTATGAAAAGAAGCTTAACATCATATGTCATTAGAGAATTGCAAATTAAAACAACAATGAGATATTACTACACACCTGTTAGACTATCCAAAATCCAAAACACTGACAACACCAAAAGCTAGAGAGGATGTGGAGCAACAAGAACTCTCATTCATTGCTGGTGGGAATGCAAAATGGTACGGGCACTTTGGAAGATAGTTTCTTCTAAAACTAAACATACTCTTACCATACAATCCAGCAATCATGCTCCTTGGTATTTACCCAAAGAAGTTGAAAACTTATATCCACACAAAAACCTGCACATGGATGTTTATAGCAGCTTTATTCATAATTACTAAAACTTGGAAGCAACCAAGATGTCCTTCAGAAGGTGATGGATAAATCAACTGTGGCACATCTAGACAAAGGAATATTATTCAACACTAAAGAGAAATGAATTATCAAGCCATGAAAAGACATGGAGGAATCTTAAGTACATATTACTAGGGGAAAGAAGCCAATCTGAAAAGGCTACATACTGTATAATTTCAACTATATGACATTCTGGAAAAGGTAAAACTATGGAGACAGTAAAGCGTCAGTGGTTGTCAGGATTTGGGAGGAGGGAGGGATGAACAGGCAGAGCACAGAGGATTTTTAGAGCAGTGAGACTATACTGTATGAAACTATTATGGTAGACACGTCATTATACATTTTTCAAAACTCATAGAATGTGCAACACCAAGAGTGGACCCTAATGTAAACGTTGGCCTTTGGGTGATAATGATGTGTCAGTGTGGCTTCATTGATTGTAGCAAATGTACCACTCTGGTGCGGATTTTGGTAGTGAGGGAGGCTATGCAGATGTGAGGGCAGGGGATATATGGGAAATCTCTGTACCTTCCGCTCAATTTTGCTGTGAACCTAAAACTGCTCTTTTAAAAAGAGAGTCTGTTTTTTAAAAACAAAATTTTGAAATGCAGGGTATTTACTTGCCCTGGCCCCATTCTCCTCCCTGGCTCAGTGGTGGTCTTGAAGATGGTAGCCCACATTCACAGTATGAAACTCTCCAGTGAATTTTCATTTCAATTATTGTACTTTTCAGCTCTAGAATATGTTTGGTTTCTTTTTATAATTTCTATCTCAGAGTTTGTCTTACTGGGAATTATAAGCAATTATAGTGAATCAAAGCAGTATTTGTGTAAATGAGTCCATAATCACACATGTTCTCAAAAGAACTTTCTTGTTGCTAGTCAAATCAAAGTAATCTGAATCCAGGCAGCATTTGAAAAAATAAGCAATGTAATGTGAAGCAGCTCAATATCATATATATTGTATTTTTCAAAGAAGCAGTGTTAGTAAACACAAGCTCAGTCATTCTACTCAATTTCTTATTGCTGTTATAATAAACTGAGATTAACGTAAACTTTATCTAAACAAACCAAGTGAGAAACATACGTTCATCACAAGTGCACATTCTTACTCTGTGTTCAATCTAGTTATGACATTTATAAAAATGAGCTCAGAATCACGTATTATTCTTAATAAAACTTCAAAGGTAGTCAAAAGCACTCAAAAGATTTCTTATTGTGATATGGAGGAGTTATAATGTACTGAAGCAGGATTTGTGTCAACAACCCCATAATCACACACTATTTTAAAAGATCCTTTTTATTTAGAGTTAAAGCGAAATAATAATCTAAGAGTATTTGTGAAATCAGCTCAGAATCGCTTATTATTCTCCAAAGAACATTCAAAAGTACTAGAAAATACAAAATTATTCAAAAGCACTCAAACTCTAACTTCTCTTTTCTTGTTAGAATTACTACTGCTAACTAGATAACTAGATAAATACTAGATACTTAACTATCACTAGTTAAGTGATAAGTTAAGACACATGTATGTTCTGGAGCTTCTTTTACATACTCTAGTTACTCTAATTATATCTAATTATCTAGTTATTCTGAGTTATCTCTACTAGCCGCTAGTGCTCACTAGTTATATTAACAAGGAGTAAGTTATAGTTAAGAGGAATGTATGATTCAGAGGTTCTTTGCTGAACCTGTAGCCTTTGACCTTGGACATGGACTTCAACTTTAGATCGTGAGGGTCAATATGAGAATGCGAGACAGGGTCAGAGTGGTAGTGTCAGGGTGAGCATCACACAGTCAGGAAGACGATCCATACTGGGTCATGGTGAGGATCAGAGTAAGGGCGAGTGTCAGGATCACTGATTCTGTCAGGGGGAGGGGGAGCCAGACTCAGGGTGATTTGAGGGTCAGGGTCAGAGTCAGAATGAAGGTAAGTGTGAGAGCAATGGTCAGGTTGAGGGTAATGGGGTGAGGTTGAGAGTCAGGGTGAGGGTCAGGGCTGGGGTTTGGGAGAGAGTCAGGCTGAGTGTTTGGTTCAGGTCAGAATCGAGGTGAGGTTGAGGGTCAGGGTTGTGGAGAGGTTAAGGGTGTGGTTTAGGGTGAAGGTGAGGTCAGAGTGAGGTTCAAGGTAACTGTTAGGGTCAGGTTGGGCATAAGGGTCAGTGCTGATTTAGGATCAGTGTAGGTCACAAAGAGGGTCAGGGTTGGGGTGAGAACAGGAGCAGAGTAAGTGTGAGGGTCAGCATGAGAGTGAGATCAAGGTCAGTGCTAGGGTAAGTGTCTGAGGAATAAGTTCAGGGTGAGGATGAGTGAAAGGGGGAGGGGGAGTGTGAAAGTGAAAATCAAGTGTGATTCGGGGCCAGTATGAGGCTAAGGGTCAGGTTTAGGGTGAGGGTCAGGGTCATGGTGATGTTCAGGGTCAGATTGAGGATAAAGGTCATGTTCAGGGTCAGAAAGCGTTAGGATGAAGATGAGTGTGAGGTTCAGGGCCAGAGTGAGTATGATAGTAGGATCATTCATGATCAGCATCAGTGTCAAGGTCAAGGTCATAGTTAGGGTTAGGGTGAGGGTGATTGTCAGGGTCAAAATGAGAGTCAAGGTTAGTGTGAGGGTCAGAGTTAGGGTGAGGTTCAGGATGAGAATGACAGTGTGGGTCACGGTCACGGTGAGGGTCAGTATAAGGGTGAGTGTGGGAATTAGGGTCAGAGTGTGGGTCTGAATCAGGTTCATGGTGAGAGTCAAGGTCAGGTCAGGGTCAGGCTGAGGGTAAGGTTGGTTCAGAGTTGTGCTGGCAAGGGTCTGAGCAAGCATAAGTGTCAGGATGAGGGTCAGAGTCAGGGCTAAGGTGAGGCTGAATGTGGGAGTGTTTAGTTTCAGGGTCAGTTTGAGGTTCAAGGGGAGGGTCAGGGTGAGTTTGAAGGTGATGGGCAGGGGCAGGGGCAGGGTGAGGAGAGTGTATGGTGAAGATAAAGGTCACTATGAGAATGAGGATCAAGGTGAGGATGAGGATGAGCTTGAGAGCCAGGATGAAGGTCAGTTCTAGTGACAAGAGTCAGAGTGAGATTCAGTGTCAGCATCAAGGTCAGGGTCAGTGTAGGTTTAGGTTCAGGGACACTGTCAGGGTCAGGATCACCATTAGAGTCAGTTTAGGGGTCAAGGTCAATGTGAGGCTCAGTGTTCGAGTCAGAGAGAGTGTGATGGTTAATTTTATGTGTCAACCTGACTGGCACCCTTACATGGAGTGCCCAGATATTTGGTTACAATGATTCTGGGTGTTTCTGTTAGGATGTCTTTGGATGAGTTTAACACTTGAATTGATAGACTGAGTAGAGCAGATTGCCCTCCCTAGTGTGGGTGGGCCTCATCCAATCAGTTCAAGGCCCAAATAGAACAAAAAGGCTGACCCTTCCCTGAATAAAAGGGAACTCCTGTCTGACTGCCTTTGAGCTGGGACATCAGTTTTTTCCTGCTTTCGGACTCAAACTGAAGCACCGACTCGTCCTAGGTCTTGAACCTGCTGGCCTTCAGGCTGGAACTACACCGTCAGCTCTCCTGGGTCTCCAGCTTGCTAACTACAGATCTTGGGACTTGTCAGCCTCCATAATCATATGAGCCAATTCCATACATATCCTATTGGTTCTGGTTCTCTGGAGAACCCTGACCAACACTGAGAGTTGGGTTGACATTCAGTATCATGGTCAAGGTCAATTTGAGTGTGAGGGTCGGGGTTATGATGATGGTCAGTGCCAGGGTCATGGTGAAGGTGAAGTTGAGTGTCACGATCATTGTTAGGGTCAGGTTGGGTGACAGGATCAAGATCAAGGTGAAGTTCTGTGTGGGGATGAGGGTAAGAGTAATGGTCAGGTGACAGTCTTGTTGAATGTCATGGTCAGAGTCAGGGTCAGGGTGTGTGTAAGAGTCTGGGTCAAGGTGAATGTGAGGGTGAGCTTGGGGGTCAATTGGAGAGTGAGGATGGAGTGAGGATGAGGTCAGGGTCAGGGTAAGAATGAGGATGATGGTGAGGGTCAGGTTCAAGATCAGTTGAAGTTGAGAGTTAGGGTCAGATTGAAGTTCTGGATCAGAGTAAGTTTCAGTGTCACAATGATGGTGCGTGTCAAGGTGAATGTGATGATCTGGGTCAGAGTGAGAGTGAGGGTTTAGGTAGCAAGTGCTGTAGTTGAGAGGTAGGTAGTCACTGGATGTGTGGTGGAGAGTAGTGAGTGAGTACTAAGGGGGTATGGAGCAGGGCGTAGATAGCAGTGAGGTCATAGTGTTTGAGGGGGCAAGAGGAGAGTGAGTGGGTGAGAAGGGCGTGAGTGGGTGTGGGCTACAAGGGTAGAAGGCAAGTGGGTAGATAGCTAGTGATTATGGGACAGGAGGTAAGTATTGAGTGGGTGTGGGGCAGGAGGTAGGCAGGGAAGTAGATATGGGGCTGAGGGTGTGTAGGGAGTTGGTAGGTAGTGTCTGTAAGAAGAGGGTTGTAGGCAGTGCGTGGGTGTGGGGCTGGGAGTAGATTGTGAGTGTGGAGGGTAGGTGGTCAGAAATAAGAAGAGTTTGGTAATTTTGAGTACTATTGTATATTTTGGAGTGCTTTTGGAGAACAAGAGATTCTTTTGAGAACAATAAGTCATTCTGAGCCAGTTTCACAGCTTTAGATTCTCCTTAGTTTGCTCTAACTGGCACTAAGAAGAATCTTTTAAGAGCAATGTGTGAGTTTGATCTTGTTTACACAAATACTGTTTTTGATTCATTATAATTTTCCCAAACAGCAATAAGCAATATTTGAGTACTTTTTAAAATTTATTAAGAACAATATGTGATTTTTAGATCTTTTTCACGTATATTGTTTCCATTCATCTTAGCTCTTAGTGAGGTCTTGATAACTCTGTTTCTCACCTTTTTTGATCAGCTAAAGCTTCTTTTCATCTTAGTTTATTCTAACAAGCAACAAGGATTAAGTAGGATGTCTGAGCTTGTGTGCACTAATACTGCTTCTTTTAAGAAATCAACAGTGTATATGATATTGAACTTGCTTTACGCTTAGACTGATTACTTTTACAAATACTGCCTTGATTCATTGTAATTACCTCTGACTTGCAATAAGAGAATTTGGGGGAACTTTTGAAAGCTTTTGAAGGTTCTCTTGAGAACTAGTGATACCAAGGTAAACAGATAAATAACAACTAGCGATAATAAGGATAACTCTAGGTAACTAGATAAAAGAGTAAGCAAAGAAGCTCAGAAACATATCTTCCCCTCAACTCTAACTTCTTATTTCCTTTTAGAATAACTGGTGAGAACTAGAGATAACTAGCTAACCAGTGGTAACTCGATAACTAGGACAACTAGAGTAAGCCAAGAAGCTCAAAAACATACACTCATCTCAACTCTAAATTCTTATATCTTGTTTGAAGATGAGAAGTAGGGATAACTAGGTAACCAGGAATAATTAGACAGCCTCACACTTATAAGCCAGACCCTTATTCTGAGGCTAACCCTCACCCTGACTCTGAAGCTCACCCTCACACTCAAACTCCCCCTCACCCTAAACCTGAACCTGTCCCTGACTCATCCTCATTATCATCCTCACCTAGCCCCATCCCTCAACCTCATTCGGACCCTCACCTCCGCCCTGACTATGATCTTGACCCCAAGTCTCACCATGATTCTGACACTGACACTGACCCTGATCTGGACTCTCACTCTGACTGTAAACCTGACTGTGACATCGAGTCTCAATCTGACCCTCACCCTGACATGAACCTCTGGCTCACCCTCACACTCACTCTGATCCTAACCTTTATCCTGACAGTCACACTCACACTGACTCTGAACCTCACTCTCACCCTCATACTCACCTCACCCTGACCCTATCCTCGCCTCACCGTCACCTTCAACCTGACCCTCACCCTCAGCCTTACCAGGACCCTGATTTGATCCTCACCATCACCCTAAACCTCACCCTCAACTTCACCTGACCCACACCCTCACCCTCTCCCTACACTGATCCTGACTTGATGCTCACCTTCATCCTGACCCTTACCCTCACACTGACCTTCACCCTCACCCTCACGTTCAACCTGACCCAGAACCTGACACTGACCATACCTTACCCTCTGAACCCTGACCCTGACCTGTCCTCTCACCCAAACACTGACACTGACCATCCACTGACCCTGGACCTCATCCTGACCCAGATAATGAGCCCCTTGACCATGTCCTGACCTGACCCTTACACTCTGAGCCAAGCTCATCGTGACCCTAAACCTAAACTTCACCATCATCCTCACCCTATACTTGACCCTGACCCTCAGCCTGCCCTGCACCCTGAACCTGACCCTGCCATTCACCCTCGCCATGATCATGACCCAGATTCTCACTCTAATTCTGATCTTGATAATGGTCACAGTAAGTGTCAGTGTCATGGGAAAGGTAGTGTCTCAGTCATCCTTACACTGACATTGACCTTGACATTCATGCTCACGCTGACACTGACTTTCACCCTGACCCTGACCCTGATACTCCCTCAGACACAGACATTTGGATCTCTGAGATCCAAAGTCAAAGATCCAGCTTGAAGTCTGAAGTCTAGATCTAAGGACCAGATCCAGGTCGAAGGTCCAGGTTTTAGATACAAGTTCAAGTCCAAGGTTCAGATCTGAAGTCCAGGTCCAAAGCTCAGGTGCTAGGTCCATAGTTCATCTCCAAGGTCCAGTTCCAGGTCTCAGTCCAAGACCAGATTCAAGACTAGGTCCAGTGCAGAGGTCTAGTGTCCAAGTTTAAGATTCAGGTCCAAGTTCCAAGGTCCAGGTTAAATCCAGGCCAAGGTCCAGGTCCATAGTCTAGGGGGCTATGGTTAATGATCAGGTCCAAATTACAGGTCCATCCTAGTTTCGGGTCCAAGGTCCAAGGTCCACTTCCAAGGTCCAGGTCCACATCCTGGCAAAGCCCTATGACTAAGTCTAGGGCCATGTCCAGGTGCAAGTTCCAGATCAAAGGTAAAGGCACAATGCAGAGGTCCAATGCCCAAGTCTAAGTTCAGCTCCAAAATCCTGGACAAATCAGTCTTAGCTTAATATAAGATATCAGATATCATTGAGAAGAATGTGTTTGAACCCACGTGGCTCTAACAATAAATAGGAAGCTTCATTGTAATGAATGAGTGGTATAGAGCTTGATTTCACATGAAACGCTTAGTGTGAACTTGATTTGCTGTCCCTATAAAACTTAGGTTTTGGAAGTGTGGTAGTTAATTTTATGTGTCAATTTGGAGGGTGTTTTTGGATGAAATTAACATTTAAATCAGTGAACTTTGAGTAACTAGATTATCTTCCATAACATGGGTGGGCCTCATCCAATCAGTTGAAGACCCAAATAGAACAAAAAGACCGGCCTCCTAGACCAAGAGGGAATTCTCTAGCAGACTGCCTTCACACTGGAACTGCACTATCGGCTTTCCTGGATGTCTAGCCAGTCAGCCCACACTGCAGATTTTGGACTTGTCAGCCTCCAAATCGTGTGATCCAATTCCTTACAATAAACCTCCATACACACACACACACACACACATGCGCGCGCACATACACGTTATTGGTTCTGTTTCTCTGGAGAACCACAATACAGGAAGAATGATCGATTCTGAGCTTGTTTGACGTAAACAGCTTAGTTTCATCCAAACATACTCTAACTCACAATGAGACATTTTGTTTGAAATATTCCTGAACCTGAACCCGGGCCTTAGCTGAAAGTGTAGTTTCCTGCCTGTTTTCAACTATTCTGCTTAGTTTCCTATAGATTTTATCTAAGTCGCCATGAGAAGTTACCGTAGATATGAATGTATGATTCGGACATTGTTGTCACTTCAACTGCTTAGATTCACCTTAATTTATTGTCACAAAAATAAATTTAGAGAACAATGTGTGATGGTAAGCTTATTTTCTCTAAAACGGCACAGACCCGTGTAATTTGGCTCTAACTCACTTATATTTGCGCTCTCTCCCCGTTTCATGCTTCTGCAGAGGGGCGTATCTGGTTCTTAGCTTGCCTACAAACGTAGTGCTTGGTTGCATACAGTTTCGTCTGTTCCACTAACAACATCATAAAGTACTTGTGAGGACAGTGCTTGCTTCTGAGCTATGTTTCAATAACACTGCTTAGATTCACCTTAATCTAATGTAATTTGAGATTGTGTGTTTGCATTATATATGTGTTACTGAGCTAGTTTGTATATATAAAGTTTATATATCACATACGAAGCTTATAAATTCCATTTATAATGCATGAGTGATTTTGAGCTTGGTTTCACATATACTGCCTAATTGAGCTACATTCTAACTCCCTAAGAAGTTACAGTTACTTTTGAGGACAATGTCTGATTCTGAGCTGGTTCTTATTAATATGCTGCTTAATTTTGACTATATACACTCTTAAGTCACCTTAAGGAGAAGGGGAACCAGCAGGAAACTGGCTGGGAAGATCTCCAGCTGGCTCTCGTCCCAGCAATTTGGTCAGCACCCCCTGAAAAGCACTTGTGACTGTGGGGAGCCGTCTCCTCTAGGAAAAGTAGGGATTCAGACTGTGGGGCAAGTACGTTATCAGCACATACGTAGCCTCTGGAGCAGAATGTTGGGGACAGTCACTGGCAGCACAGGTTGGCATTAGACTCGGCAGCTGAAATGGGGACTCCGCCTCTGGAAGGGGAATTGGGACTTTGGCTCTGGGGCCAACAGTGGGTTCTTATCCTCTGCAGACAGAAGCAGGGGTGTAGCCTCTGGAGTAAGAGGTAGGGACTGCCTATGGACCCAAAATCCAGGCTGTCTCTGGATGGGGGAGTGTAGACCTAACCTCTGGGGAGCGCTCTTGGGACTTAGCTTCTGGATCAAGAAGCAAAGACGTAGGGAAGGGGGATTTAGCCTCTGGGGCAAGAGGTGACCTCTGCAGCCAAAACTGGGACTCGACCTCTGCAAGGGAAAGTGTGGACCTAGCCAGTGGGGCATGTGGTGGGGACCTAGCCTCTGGATGGAGAAGTGGGGTCATAGCTTCTGGTGTGGGGAGTGGGATCTTAGCCTCTGAAATGGGAGATGGGGACTTAGCTTCTGGAGCCGAAATCTAGACTCAGCCTCTGGAGGGGGAAGCAGGGACACAGTTGCTGGTGGTCTCAGTCAAAACCGCTTCTGTCCGGGGAAAAGAGTGGCCTCTGTGCCAGGTCTGAGGAGCTCCCCCTAGTGAGGGAAAGAAGCAAGAAATTTTGAGATGAATGTGTTTCTGAGCCTGTTTGCACATGTAAAGTTTACAAAGTACTTAAGAAGCTCATAAGATTTGTTTGAAATGAATGAGTGATTTCAAGCTTGATTTCACATAAACTCTTCAATACACTCTGAGTTACTCTAAGGCCCTTTTGAGAATGCTTGAGTCTGTGCTTGTTTAATATCAACTGTTACATCTGAATTATCTCTGAGGAGCAACAAGAAGCTCCAATTTGAAATGAATGAGTGATTTTGAGCTTGATTTCACCTAAAATGCTTAGTATTGACTGTATTTACTCTAATTCCTCATAACAAGGTAGATTAAGGAATAATTACATATTCTCTAATACTGCTTAGATTTATCCAAGTTTGTTCTCATTCATTTTTATTTGCTCTCTCACCAATAGACTTTTCCTTGGAGGGCAATGTCTGATTCTTAGCTTGTTTACAAACACACTGCTCGTTTGTACACATAGTTTAGTTCCATCTTCATTTTCACTAACTCAACATAATAAAGTACTTTTGATTTACCTTACATATAATTGTGTGACGTGACACTGTTTTCACTTATCCTACTTAATTGGCTCTAATTTGCACTAAGATAGTACTTTTGAAGCGACTGTGTGTTTCGGAGCTTATTTGCACATAAAAAATTTACATAGCACTTTAAAGCTCATACATTTTATATTAAATGAATGGTTTTGAGCTTGATTTCAAATAGACACTATTTGTTCTAATTTCCCATAGGAAGTTAGGTTTAGGAATCTTATTTTATCTTAATCTGCTCTAACTTGCAATAAGATATTTAGTTTGAGATGTGTCTTTCTGAGCTAATTTGTTAATTTGCCTTTCTGAGCTAATGTGCTCCAGCTCACGGTAAGAAGTCAATATAGCTTAGTTTTCATTTTAACATAAACTGCTTAGTTACATTTATATTTGCTCTAACTTACAATGAGTTACTTTTGAGATCAAAGATCTGAGCCTCTTTTAACTATACTGCTTAGATTCATGTAAAGTTGCTCTAACTCACAACAAATACTTATCTTGGCAAAGAACTGTGGTTTTGAGGTTGTTTTCACGTATACTGGGTAGTGTCTGCCGATGATGCCGCCCGCTAAGCCTCCCCTCTGCACTGCCAAGGCTGTTTTTGGTTTTGCCTCCTGAGTCTGCGCCCGGGTTTTCCGCAATGACCAAGTCCCTGCCTGGCCGACGGGGGGGGGCCGACGAAACCGCCGGGACAGCGAGCTTCCCGGCCCCATTTCTCAGTCCAGGCGGATGGGAGAGCGGTGGAATCCGGGGCGGGGTGGGGGGGCAGAGGCCTGTGCTCAGGCTGTGAGGCCTTTCAGGCAGGAGGCCCCAGGTGCGGGGCGACGCGATGTCAGATCCCGAGCTCCCCCCACAGCCGCCGGCCAGCGGCCCCTCCCCCGGTCCTTTCCAGCCGGTGTTGTAAGGCAGGGCGATGAGGAGGGCCGGTCTGACCTGGAGCCTCCAGGCGCGTCGGCGGAGCGCGCGGGCCTTTCAGGGGGGACCCTCCGCACAGCTGGGCTTGAGATCGGTAGCTAAGCAGACATGAGCCGGGAGATCATAATTGGAGACCTTGCTACATCAAAGAAAGCGTCTTGCTGGCATCCCACAAGATACAGAGAGCACCGAAGTCTGAGACCTTCAACCACCATGATGAAAATAATGAGTGCACAAAACAAAGCCTTCTGCTCTACACCTCTAGAGGACATTGACCTTTCCTTAATTTACACACAAATTCCATATGCATTAGCCCCCCTTCCGCGGGGGATGACGGCCATAAGAGATCCAGAGACTCCCCTAAAAGGTCAAGAACTCCCCCTCCCGACGGGTGGGTGGAGGAAAAACCATTATTGGTGGATAACCAGATAATGCAAATTCCTTCTAAACAGCCCAAATAAAAATAAAACTACCCAAGACTCGGGGCTGATGCATTCTCTGGCACTGGCCGCTCCTCACTTGGAGTGTACCTGACCTTTCCTCTAATAAACCTTGGCTTGCTTGCTGTTGCCTTTGTGTTGGTGTCTTAATTCCTCTCTTACACTGACCTCTGTTACACTGGGCCATCTGACTTTTCAGTCCCATTACAGGCCCAGAGGCCAAGTTCCCTGTTCTCGACTCAGAAGCTGAGTCCCTGTCTGCAAGTCTACCTGGATCCCTGCTGACCACTCCAGATGCTTAGCCCCCTCTCCCTCCCACTGTTCCTTCAGGAGTCCACCCCGGAAGCTGAATCTGGAATTTATGACCCAAAGTTTAAGTCCCAACCTTCCAGAGACTAAGATCTATGCCACCCTCACACCCCCACACCGCCAGAGGCTACATGCCAACGGGGACCCCACTTGTCACCCAAAAGTCAAGTGCCCACTTTTCACCTCCATGGCCTCTGGGTCCCAACTTTTACAAGCCTCCGTAGGAGGCACTTGACAAACCGCCAGGAGGGGACCAGCTGGCAGCACCCAGGTCATCCATGGGGTGCCCAGGCCTCTCAGGGGTGCTTCTGGGGACCTGAGGGGAGATGAAGCCCCAAACTCCACTCACCCTCTTTGCAAGCTGGATGCGCTCCCTCCCTACTTCTGGACTTGTAGCACAATTAGCTGATAAGAACATTCACCCCAAAAGTGTTACGAGAAGGCAAACATAAACTATAATCACAGTCAGCACCAAATTAGAAAAACTTAAGGGAGCAGTCACCTCTGAAAACCAGAGACAAATGTTGTGTGAATATACTAAAAACCCCTGACTTGTACACTTTCAAAGGATGAATTTTATGGTATGTGAATTATACCTTCATCAAGCTGCTATAAAAAAATCTTAGACCCCAGATCCTCTTCCCCACTGCTGCAGAAGATTCAGCCTTGACGCTCAGGAGAGGCTGACAAAGGGAGCAGCTCTGGACTGAGGGGTAGTAGACACAGTGGAGGGCAAGATGAAGTGCCACAGTGAAAACAGGAGAATTGAGTGAAAACCATATACTGAAGAGAAGGACTCCCAGCCTCCTCCTCTTCCTCAGCTCCCCAAACACTGGCAGCCAAAGTTATATTCCCCAGGCAGGAGATGGGAAGCCTTCTCTCTGGGAAGTCTGCCCTGTCCAGAAGAAAAGGTCCAGGAAGACTCAGAGTGACTGTCCCTTATCCCTGCCTCATCACCCTAGAGCAGAGATTCTCAACTCCCAGGGAATTTGCCCCCAGGGGACACTTGGCAACATTTGGAGACACTGTGAGTTGTCTGACTTTGGGGGTGGGGGTCCTACAGGCATCTAGTGGGCAGAAGCCAGGGATGCCTGCTAAACATCTTACAAATCACAGGACAGCTCCCACCCAACAAAGAATTATCTGGTCCTAAATATCAATAACACCAAGGTTGAGAAACCCTGTCCTGATGTGAGGCCCGCTCACCAGCAGGGCCTGCCCACATGCAGAAAGCTTCCACGTAGCCTTTCAGTACTTCAAGGTTAAGTATAAACAGATAGCCAATGACCCCCAGACCATAAAAACAAACATCAAAAGAGTGAAGACTTATGAGAGTTAACCGAAGTGACTGAGGGAGAGAAATGTCCCCATGAGACACATGCATCTCAGTGAGTGATGTCCCCCTGCACCCTTCCCGGCTCCCTTTGCCATGGTGCATGCTCACCGAGCGGCGTTCCAACCACAGGGCTGCTGGTTGTCCAGGGGTCTTAAAACAGGGGGAGTCTCCAGCTCAGTTAAGGTCTTTTTCTCCACCCCGAACTGTGCATGATTACCCTGACTTTCTAGTATATTAGATGGCAGTGTCTTGCTAGAAGGAGTGAGCTCTAGAAACAAAGTGGCAGGTGGAATTCAAAACATCTGGGGGAGGGGGAAGGTGTTCCTGTGGCAGAAGTGGCCACAGAACTTCAAGCTGTTAAGTTGTCCCTCTTTGAGATTTTCCGCCCTGGGCTCTGCTGCACTGGGTTACCTGCAAACTGTGGATGACGAGGGGTTGCACACCACAGCCTGGGCTTAGTGCTGCTCTGTGGAATGCAGTAGAAGCCATTCTACCCCCAGAGC